TCTGTAGTCATTCTCACTGCCTTGGCTTTCTACAGGTATTAGAAATCTGCGGAACAGAACTGGGTTTTGGGACAGCCAGCACGGAGCTTGCAACACAGAACCATTCAGTCAGTCTCCTATCCAGGGTGCTCTGTTAAGTAAAACAATATCGATCATCAAGCATACAACACCCTGTACGTGCTGTCACCAAGTGCTTCATGCAGAACCTAGTGTGTTTGTTGTTCTGGAGGCAAGTTTTAAAACACGGCATCTGCAACCAAGGAAAAATTTTCCTGTATCCAGCGTAAGCGGAAAGCTTGTAACACTCCGACCTTCCGAGGAAGTCAAGGTTGAGGACAAAGAGACTGACACTCAAAACAGCTATTAGATGAGAGTGAAGGCATATAAAACAAGTCCACAGGACGTTGTGAAAACAAAGAACCACCATGAAGAACCATGTCCCACAGCCCTTCTGAGCATTAGAAGGGATCCATCACCCAAAGCTGTATATTAGAATGCAGTTCAGAGATGGAAAATCAGAGGCCAAAAGATAGTTAAAGGCAGGCAGAAATGTTCTGCTTCTTGGAGCAAGAGACCATTTTTCACTGTAACATTACTGCTGGCTCAAATTTTGGAGGTGGAAAATCCAAGACAAAAAATGGTCTTTCAACTGCTGCCGTTCTGCCAGCGATTAATGCTTTACTGCAGCCGCAGAAGGCAGCAACACAGTGAAAGCCGAATCCATTAGATAAACTAGGAGAAAGAAAGGAAAGCAACAAAGGGATCTGTCTCACAGTTGGGGTATGATGGCACCTGATCACATATTTATTTTACAAAGAGCTGGACACATTTTCCACCCCCATGGCAAGTGTGACACAAGGAACACACAAACACTCCTCATCTGTGTTGGTAAAGTCTGACAGCTTGGCCCTCCACTTTCATCAGGAGTTTAAGACAAAAAGAGCAGGTTTTCAGTGACATAACTAAGCGTTTCTCCCAAGTTCTGTGCCATCACCTCTGCTGTAAGGGACAGCATCTGGCAAAACATGGTAACTCCACTGAACTGCACCAATTATTGCAAAGCACGTGCGTTTCAAGGAGACTTGGGATCCCTCCACCAGAAGAGAGACAACCAGAACATTTGACAGCTGGAAGCCTTGCTGCTGTTCAAACTAGAACAAGCATGGCCAGAAGACGCCAACGCATACAGATATCATGGTGAGCTCTATGAAGAAACCATGGGAACTAACAGTCTCAGCATTTGGCAGGCTTGGGACAACGATTTTTTGAGGTTGGTTACAAAGCATGTTGCGCAGCTGCTGCAGATAGCAAGCAGAGCACAAAGAGGGAGTACTCTGTTAATGCTTCAGTGTGGATTTCGGGATTTTTTTTGTTTGCCTGTTTTGCAAATCACCTTAGCTCTGCTTATGCCTTCAGCTGACGCAGTATTAAAGACCCCAAATAAGTTCTCCCCATATGCCTGGCCTCGATCTGAAATGTTCGATTCAGCCCTACTCCCCAGCATTTACCTGTAGCAACTCTTTTGCAGAACCTCTCTTTTCCACATCCATTTCAAGACAGCGGTTTAGGAAATCTCGGAATATGGGTGAAAGCTTTTCCGGATTCTGCAGTTCTGGAGTCCCATTAGTAGCAATGAGATATAGGGCCTAAAGCAAAACAAGCACCAGAGAAACAGGAGGTTATGAACACAAGACTCCATATCTGAATTACAGACACCCATTTCTCCTCTCCGTCCCCCCAGTTCAATGAAGAAAGAAAAATTTATCAGGTTGACTAATCAGTGCTTCAGTTTCAGCAAACAGAATAGCTGCCTGCCCTATTTTTATGTGGATGGGATCCAATCCTTTATTGTTTTACCCATGTAATCTGGGTTTGGATCCTGCAGTCATCTCAAGGGATTAGGAGGACAAAAACAGCATTCCAGACTGTGTTTACATAGGGAAGTTAACTGGCACGGCTCTACCAGTGTTAGTCTCCTGCAAAAACTATATCCTCATGGGAAAGGTCCCCCTGAATACATAAGAGATTTAGTTCTGTCAGTACTTCCCCTGAGTGGGCAAGGCCTAAAAGTTTAGTCCTGTAAAAATGTGATTGGCTTGGAAGATGTTCAGCAGATCCTTAAGCATCATTTATCATCCTGCAGAAACAAGTAGTTTTGACACTGCTCTGTGATGATGCATCATCCCCGTGCATGCATGCATGCACTGTTTCTTTGAGAATCAAGAAACTCAAACTTCATCCACTTCAGCATTTCATGCAAGCAAGAAAACTTCCTGTGTGGATTTTAAAAGGAAAAGGAATTAATATGCAGGCCTTTTGAATACACCAGATTGCTCTCATGGGAGCAGTCTGACAGCCTGGGAACTGGAGCAAGTTGAGTTAAAAATGAGGCCACAGCACTGAGTTACTTAATCATCCTCATTTACCTAAAAGCCCATTTTCTTTCCTTTCACTCTGCTGCTGTTCTTCTCTCCCCAAATCTCTTCCAATGCAAGAGAGGGAGACAAAAGTTAAACAAAATTCATCTAACCCCCCTCATCCTGTTTAGCTGAGGAAGAAGCTATCATCCTGGCTTGCATTAGGAGCAGCTGCATCCCTACAAACCGACAGGATCTCTCCTTTGCTCTTTAGTTTTTAACGAAAGGGAAGGTATCAGTGGGGTTAAACCCTTCTTAAAGACCTCCTAAACTGTGAGCTTTATTTCGAGCATGCAAGGAGGAACTGGAGATATTCCTGTGCTTTCCCTGACAATCCACCAGCAGGAAAAGCCACGTTTATAGAAAAGTGACAGGTGCCATATTTTCAGATCCAAGGATAACTCTCTTCCTTGCTCGTGGGGCACAAGGATTCGAGAAGCCAGCTGCTTGGGTTCCATAAGGTGCTCTTGCTGTCTCTGTCAGCCTCTCCAGAATGTGGAAAAACATGAGTGCACGTGATTTAACTCATTAGATCCTACCAGAGAGACTGCATCAGCATGTGCTACACCTTAGAGGACAAATCAACTACTGCAGCACAGGGAGAAAACCCACACCTATGCTCTCTAGGACCAGCTACGGCTTTTAATCCAAACGAGCTGAATCTTCTCGCTGCAACATCTAAGGAGACAGGGAACGTGGGGAAACCACATGGGAGGATTCACCTGCCTCATTTATAGCCTTGTTTAGTTGAAAGGGTCAGTGAAGACCTAAGGCACAAAAAGGCTTACTCTCAGGGGGTTCTCATTGAGGTAGGGGGGCTCTCCTTCAATCATTTCAATGGCCATGATCCCTAGTGACCAGATATCCACTTTGGGCCCGTACGCTTTCCGGGTCACCACTTCAGGTGCCATCCAGTATGGGGTTCCCACCATGGTGCTGCGCTTGCTCTGCTCAGGAGTGATCTGGGCACAGAAGCCGAAATCAGCTGAAACAACAAAGAAGGGAGAAGAAACAGACTTAGAAATCAGCAAGTTTCTCCAGCAACAATACTTATCGATGCCACAGCTGTAGGACACGCTAGCATGCTGCACTGTCTGGTGCGTTGCTGCTGCAGCTCTGAAAGGAAGGGTGGTTTTGTGGCTAATACAGAAGATGGTGTTGAGAAGTAAGTTTCTAAATATGACTCATTGAGGCCATCAGGATCAGAGAGGCGCTGACTTGTCAATTTGAACGATGGGGATGAGTAAATAGCCTTATATGGATGTTGAGAGACTTGGCTGTGCTTGCGGTGTCAGGCAGTGGTAATACACTACACAATATATGGTCTAAAGAGTGTTCGGGGATATGTAAAAACAGAAATCAATACACAGTCTGATCTAGATACCCCAAAAAACCCCACTGTTTTGCCTGGTGATATTTTTGGTCCCAGGAATATTACTTCCTCAGTAGATACACCATCCCTCAAACAGAATTTGCTTTACAGAGCAAACACTGTGTTCAAAGTAAATTTAATGTACCTAAATCTATATTGATTTTAAGCAGACAGAAAGATGTAGAGCCTTTGCATGAAGACTGCTGAGCCCTATGTCTTACTTATGTTTTCCTTGCCAAAGGAAAACTAATTCTGTTGTTGTGAGGCCAGCAGAGTCCACACAGCAAGGTGCAGTGCCCAGCCTGACCCCCTACGGCACTGCAGGTTTAATTTTAGCCAGAATGATGAAAATTAAGCTGATCCCCAACTGAGTTTTCATCAAGGGTAACAAGGAGGAAAAGTACATATGGTTCATAAACAGAGCAGATTTCTAGCAGAGCCAATAAGAAACTCATGTCCAGAAGGTTACTGCATCATATCCACAGGGAGTTTTCTAACTTTCAGCTACAGCCAGGTACCTGCATATCGTGCTCAGAGAAGTTATTCCATAACAAACAGAGCGCTTTGGCCCTGATCAGCTATTCATCACCTAATACTCCAGAGATCTGACTGTACTTAAGTGCAGCTTTATTCTAAAAAGCAATTGTGTGCAAAAAAGCACTTCTTACTCAGCAAATCTGCACTTTGTGAATTTTGAGTCATATCTGCTGTTACTGCCGACAAAAATAGATGTATTTATGCTGGCTGGCTGCTAGCCAACAGAACCGTCAGGGAGAGCAAAAGAGCACAATCCTGGTAAAGCTATACGTGGAAGATAATTGTTCAGTGGTTTTCAGACTTATCTCTGAATAAGCAACCACAAGCCTAACAGTTAACCTGGCACCGGAGGGGCAGAACAGTCTCAAGGTCTTCATTACCGCTGATAAAACAGGAGCGAAAGAACATAAGAGATCAGTCTGTTAGATTTAATATTTTCTAGTTACATTACAATTTCTAGTTGTATTTTCTAGTTTTCAGCTCCACTCCCCCTCCAAGTACTGACAGTATTTCCCACGCTGAAGAGAGAGCTCACAAATAAGACCTGTGACCCTACATGTTCAAACTCAGCTTTCTAGACTGGAGTTGGATTCAAATTCTGTTATTTTAGTCAACAAAAACAGATGGCCCAAAGCAAAATGAACCCCAAACTTCATTTCAAGTCCAGTATCAATTCACAGGGATTTACGCTTGCCAACATCCATTAAAAGAGATGCCATAGAAATACCTACAGGAGCATTTCTACAGTCTCCTCATTGCCACAATATCAGGCACCTCAAACACCCAGGTCCCCAACAGGCCTGGCTCTAAGCAGATAACAGGACTGTTAGTTCCTGGGTTGTTAATTAAAGTCATCACCAGCGCTGTTCCCTGCTTACTTAGTTTGACAGAGCCGTCCATTCCCAGCAGGATGTTGTCACTCTTGATGTCTCTGTGAATAACTTGGTTTGAATGGAGAAATTCCAGAGCCTGGAGACACTGGGGGCAAAAAAAAAAGTTATTTTTATTGTTCATGAAGTTATTCAACAGCTATGATTAGCCAGCTAACGGACTTCAACAACGGGCATTTTCAGTAGCAAGGGCTCATTTTCTTAGAAGCTTTTCTAGATCCACACAGAACGTGCAGGGCTACACAGAGATATCCCACTGGGATCATCAGGTCCTAGGAGGGCAGATAAGTCCCAAAAGCTCTGGAGAATGGGTGTAACCAACAGGATCCCAACCCCATTTGGCACTGCAGTCCTTACTCAAGGGTGTTTCAGGTGTAGGCTGTAACCTCCCAAATTAAATCCGTCGTATGAAAAACACACCTTCTGTAATTTAACAGTAAAGCAGCTATCCCTGTGGAGCCAGTGACATGTCATGAAAAGCCCGTGTCCCCTTCCTGACCACAAGTCGCTCTGAGCGTTGAGTGCAGCTTTACCTCTCGGCATACAGCCGCGATTTGTCCTTCGTCCATGCAGGTCTCTGTCACAACATCTGTTAGGGAGCCTCCTGCCAAGTACTCCATGACTACCCACAGCTCTTCTCCTACAAGATAACTAAGAGCCCAAATCACGTTTTAAAATAAGCAAGTATCAACATGCCCCCATTTGCCTAGTCAGAATGTTTTAAAGCTATTCTAGGAGTGCAGGGAAGCCAGGAGGCTTGAACAGCACGTTTAACAGTACTCGCGCACCGGGTACCAGTGATACTCTGTACATTGGGGGATGAGATCACAACCTGAAAGAACAGAGGGAAGAGTGGGTGCAGTGGGTTGAGGAGAGAACAGAAAAGAGGTAATGGGAGAGCTGGCTCCCAATTTTCTCAGCCATAACAGCAAGGCTGACTTCTTCTGCCATGCAGAAAGCGTAGGCTACGATGGACACCTGAGCTTGCAATTCCTGCCGCGACAGAAGAGGAAGAGCTACTACAAGGAAGGGGTCTGAGCATGCAGCCCCGGACAGCAGGCACATAGCACAGCTTTTGAGGATGCCTGCATCAAAAGAGGTGGCTGTGGGTTGGTGGCTGTGGGTTGGTGGCTGCCTTGTTACCACTGGCATCCTGCTGGCCTAAGCAACTGCCTGTTTTGCCTAGGCACAGGGTCAGTCCCAGGCGACGCACCAGATGGCTGAACAACAGTGAAAGAGCACAATGTCTGAGCATCGTACATCTGAAATTCCATCAATCATTTTTTATGCTGCCAAGCTAGCTTGGGATTTTGTCCAAAAAATTCAAAACCATTTATAAGGGCAAATGGAACATCCTGCTGGATTTAATAGCAATTCTACAATTCTACAGAGGAAGGGGGGGAAAAAATGGAAAGGCTAGAAGAACAAGTTTTGTCCAAAAAGGCCAGCAGGAAGACGGGCAAGTTTTCTCAGCCATTTGGGATATTCTTTCCTTCTGCTGCGAGTGCATGTGTCCTTCTGTCTAGAGGCAGACTCTTGGGATGAAGGCTCCACCATTAGCTCACGTAACATGAAGGAAGTTGCCAACCATCTCTGCCTTTTTGGGCCCATCTAGAAAAAATTTGGTGCAATCTTCCACTACAGATACCTCAGTACAAGACACGCCTGAAGGAAGGGACCATCAGCTTGAAAAGTGTAAAGCACATCTTCTCAGCCTATCCCCCCAGGTCAGCAGATAGGTGAGCCAAGAGAATCAAATGAAAAGCTTCTGCTGACTAATATTACAGTTCATCGAGCAGCAATTTGGTTTGCTCAGAAACACTGATCCTGTTGAACAGTGAGTTTGCTAGGAGCCAAAAACAAAAAGTAGGAGAGGCTCTAGGGAACAATTAGCTCGAAGGCAACTGCGAAGGAGCAAGAGGTTATGAAGCCTGGCCTGGCATGAAAAGTAGACTGAGTTGACTGAGACGCTGCAGAAGTGGGCAGCAGGGTGGGCTTTTGCCTCAAAAAGCACACGCTGCCAACATCAGAGCTGATGAGGGGGAAAAAAAGAAAAAAAAAAAAAAGACTAGAACAAGAATTGCAGTCTGAGCTGGGCCTGGATGACAGAACTATTACCGTTATGGATAGCTTTTAGTATTAGAGACAAAGATGCTTTCTCAGTTTAGTGATGCTAAAGACTGTGTAACAGGATGTCTGAAGTTTCTTTCAGTATACAGAACCCAAGGACATGGGTCTATAATCCCAGAGCAAACAGGTCTCCAGCTGCGACGCAGAAGAGAAGCTGATGCACTGGCAGTTTTTTTTTCTGGCAGTACAGACCCTAGCAAGGCAGCATCACCTGCGCAACAGTTCTTCAAAGTGACAGAGGAGCAGCAAAATTGCTTTCAGAAACTCTCCTGCCAAGCCTATGCGTCATCCATGTTCTTCTGATGGGCTCTGAAGGACACTGCATGCAGACCTTTCCTTCCTGCCCCTATTTCATTGCTTCTTTTTCATCGTTCTTGCCAAACCAGGCTCTCTCCAGATCTTATCAGTGCTCCTTCAACAAATCAGTAGCACCCTGGAAAACTCAACGCTTCCCTTCATTGCCACTGGCACCCTACGTAGCCCAAATCCACTTGCATGGATGGGGGAAGAACAGGGTCCCCGTTCCTGCGTGACAATCTCAGGCTGCGCAAGCTGGCAGCAAGCTGGTATCTCTCTGCAGCCAAAAGGGAGGGAGAGAGCCAAGGATCACACTGCGAACCAAAGCTGCGCCACGAGCAGCCCAACGCACGTGCCAAGACCCAGGCACCTCAATAATCGATAGATCCGACGCAGCATGCAGGGAAGTGGAATTAACCAACTCCCGCTGAACAAATGTAATTTCAGGAGGCAGGGTGGTGCCGTCTTTGGGATCTTTTCAATCTCCCACCACAGCAGAGACCGGTTTTAGTCACTGAACTGCCTGTTGCAGGTGTTCCTCAAAATCACTCCATGACCGGTTCCTGAGGCATGACCAGAAGTCAGTACACCTATGTCCTGCTCCCCCTGTGACATCAGGCATATTGTGGTGTCACACCTTGTCACACAGAGTCACCTTCCAAAACAAGGCTGGCAATAAAAGCAAGCTGATGAAAGTCGTGGCAGAAGAGGGTGGCCTCCAGCTTTCTCCTCATCCATCTGAAGAGTGGTACTTGCTCCTCTAAGATATTACCCAGCTTCCACTTAGATACCTTAGGAAGCTGTCCCCCAACTGCCAAACCCTTCCTATCAGAAACGCACACCAGTCATAGTCCTAAACCTTGTCAGTCATAGTCCTAAACCTTGTTTATGGATAAACGCATAAAGCCCCATAAAATTTTGGTTTGCTCAGAAAAGCAAGAATGTCCATTACAGATTTCTGCAGCAGTGACACCACTCCAACACCGCCACGTACGCAAGAAGTTAGTCTAGAAAGAAAATAGTGTTTTCTTTTAGCGTTACTGTGTCATACATTTTCAGCTTTATACACTGATTTTCCAACCCTGGTTGAGTTTAGGGTTGCGAGGGGAAGGGAAGTGCGATTCCGTAACAGTGGCTTAAAATGAGGATTTGTGGCATTTATTACACTCAGGACAGCTCTTCAGAAAGAAACCAAAAGGCAAGTCTTTGCTTTGCCTAATGCTCAGCATCTAACTTTGGATGCCTAAATCGAGAAGCAGGTCGCCGAGGCCCTCTTTCACACAGTGGGAAAGAAACAGGCACCTCCAGAAAGCAGTTCTGCCTAAATAGCTGCTTGCTGCACAGGAAAGCTAGCGTCACTGTCTTCAGAGCTGGATACTCCTAAATTCAGCTCCTAAGTATAGCTGAATTAGGGCACGTCGCTATCTTTAGCTTCACATCATACCTCGGTGCAACACTGGCCCGTTACACTGCAGCACAAAACCGGGCTGAAGCATAAATGCAGTTCCAGCATAGCGATGTTTGGGGATACTAAACCTTCTCCTAACTATCAAGAAGTAGGCCATGCAGGTCAAAGAGGAGGAAGTACTGAAAACTCTTGTATAAGAAGAGGACCCGAGGTAGAGAAAGGCCAGAGGTCTGGTCTGAATTGCTGATAAACATCTTGCAGCTCCTGTTAGGTACTTGAAAGGAGACATGCTGTCAAAAACAGAGCCACAGAAAAGAACCCAGGTCCCACAGCGGCAAGCGCATCCTCGTTCCTACTGCCTTCTGTAGCAAGAAGGGGGGAAGCCAGCAAGTGACGTTCAAATATCAACTTCTTTCAGCGCTCGGGAAACAAACAGGCCCGTTAGACCAGGCAGGAGGGATGCAACTCTCCAGCAACAGGATCCTGCAGCTGCAAAGCTGTAGTGGCACAATAGGCTCAAGAACCCCCACGCTCATCCTGGGAGCTGCTCTGTCCATTTACAGCACTCTAACAAAACCTAATCCCTCTGAAAAGGATTAGCGAGACAAAGGCAAGAACGAAAGCAGCAGCTCCTGTTGCTGGAAGTTCAAACAAGACAGCAAGATTTGCAGCTACCCTACAGCTAAGATGTACTGGCTAGACAAGGCAAGTACATGTGCACGGGGATGCTCTCTCTAATGGGAGAGTAAGCGTCTTTAAAATAGCTGGTCAAAAGGAAGCCTCTAATCATCCAGAAGAAATACACAGTTTCAACCCACATGCACTATTTAAGTGTTCTTTTCTCTTTTTTTCATTCTACACAAGTAATAATCTTTCTGCCTCTTTGTAAGAGGGGAGTGTTGGCCCAGCATCACTCCCCCACACACGCAGGCCTTCCACAGACAATTTCAGGAGCAGACTTCCCATCCCCTCAACAAAGCAGCTCTCTACAACTATGCACATAGGACACAGCATCATCTGAATTCAGCATCAGAATTGATGCTGGAGCACACAAAAAGTATTTGTTTTGGCTAAGACATCAAAACAAGCCCAGAAAGGGAACAGCCGATAGGATTTTGACACACGTGCAGAGTAAACAAGTGTCCAAATATTCTCTCAAACGTCCAAATGGTGGAAGCCACATCCCTCCATAGCATCTTTAAAAATGAAATGAGCTGCCAAGATTAAATTCTGCAGCTCAGCCTATTCTACTGAGACACCGTTTTACCCTACAATAAGCCAAACCTGTAGTTCATCAAGACTGCTGGATTCTGACACAAGCGCAGCAGACTGGAAATCCTGCTGGAGTTTCACTAGAACTAAACACTGTATCTTTAACGCGAGTGAATGATTCAGGCTTGACACAATGCATGAATGTTACATTGCTGCTGAATACAAGTCACCGCACAATGCTGCTGCCTGTTCGGCTTTCAGTACTCCCCTGATTTCAGCGCAAACAGCTTGTGACTGTTTCCTAGAATTCAAGCAGGGGATATACAAGCAGTTCTTGAACTTTCAAAGGCAGCTCCCTACCCCCAGAGAATCACGTTTACCAGTAGCTCCTTCTGAAGCAACAGATCTCCAAACAGCTGATGATGGCAGCACTGCTACCATCGCCCTCATGTACAGTATCCATGTCCTATGTGGAGGAACACGACAGTTTTTACCCCTCTCATGGCCACCATGTTTGTTTGCAGATTTAAATATTTAACTGTCTTAAACTATATAGCAATGACGGTTTTCAGGGCTGCACTCATGGCCAGGAGGACTAGGTGACTATTTTAAAAAGAGCTTACGCTCTGTGCAGCTGGGCTGACTACTACCAGCATACACGTAAGAGTTAGAGTGCTGCTTCTTTCTGTTATTGTCCTGATCCAAGGCACAACAGCCTAAGAACAAGAATAGCAGGTCTGTACACAGATAATGCAGAGCTGCACTGAGTAGCTTAAGAAGAAGTGGGGATTTCAAGAGGGAGCCATCCCATACGGACGCAACGTGTCCAAGGCTGAGCAGAAGTGCCACAGCATGTGCATGACGGCGCAAAGTCTAGCTCTGAGCAGGGAATAATCCTGTTCCCTCTGTCTTCCAAAGGGTTTTCACCTACTTACTGTGCCAGATCTCAGATCTGCAACTGCAACTCTTCTCCTGGAATGAGTTATCAGGAGCACAGTTATTTTTACTGATGCTTTTCTCCCTTATTCACACCCACAAGAGCACAGCCTTGCCTGGTTGTGTGCCACATGTCATTCACCCTCACCACTGTTATGCTACTGCTCAAAAAACCTCAGCAGACAGCCAAAAAGAAAAGATTATATTCCTCTGAAAGCAGAAAGTCAGCACTGCTCAGTGGAAGAAGAAAATAAGTAAGAACAACACAGTTCAAACTACTTCCATCTCTCCTCCAGTAGCAGGAAGGAAATGGCTTATAGTGTCAAATTTGGCAAAGGAGAGAAGTGGAGAGTGGAATCCTGACAGCAGGCTGCTAATGTCTTTTCTGCCACGATCTCTAAAGAGAGCCTAGAAACCCCACTGATCCTGATTCAGACACCTGTTTCTCCTAGGATATGGACTAAGATCACTAAGCCACTCACAACCCAACCTCACCACACGCACTGAACACTGCAAAGTTTTCTTCTACCTGCATTAAGCTGAGACAGGATCACTTCAGACAGTGACAAGGAAGCATCTTCCAGAGCCCCTTTGTGAACTCTTCAAATCATCACTTACCTGTCCAGGTAGTTGACAATGTTGGGGTTTTTGTTTTCCCTCATTACAAGAATTTCGTTAATAATCAGTTCTTTTTTGGGCTGCTGCTGCAAATTCATCTGTTTGATTGCAACCTATAGTGAAGAAACATGAAAAAGTAGAGCCTTATTAAAGGGTCATCTAGAAACCTGCATAAATACCAGTGCCGATTATTTTAGTTCCACACTCACATAAAGGGGGAAGTCACTTTATCCTCATGGGTTACTGAGTCTTTTCATAACTCTACGAGTTCCTCCTGCCAGTGCATTTCCACATATGTTGAGTACTTAACGCCAAAAAGGATGGCGGTGGTGGTGGGGGCGGGGGGGAATTACTATTTTCATACTGGACCGCTGTGCCGTAGTTGGATAGCCATCTCTACAGTTTTTGGTGAGAGAGCAGAGATTCCCTTACTCTAGTATGGACTGATTTATCAAAGACATGTTTCTTCTTAAAGTAGTCTTATTAATTTTATTTTGGATAAGCCACTTCTGGAGGTTTGGGGCTTTTTCCCCTCTCTAAACAAATCCTGTGCTTCTAGAAGGCTGGAATAGGGCAGGAGATCAGGGAAGGGGTAAAGTACATGGCCTAAGCATAGTTCTTTGAGGTGGTAGTTTTATTTATTCTATCTTTATTTTATTTATTTATCTGCCATAACAACACCCAGGGGGAAAGAAGCATCAAAGTTTAGATACAGGGCTGAAAAACATATGAATTGGACCGAGCTTCAATCCCAGTCATAACAAAGGGAAACAGAGGTGGATTCTTCAGTTGTAGTCTTTTGGCTTTGTTGCGTTTTACCTGTTTCATTATATCTACTCTGCATGTGCAAGCACAGAAATCAGTTAGATACAACGTACTTCGAACTGTTACATTCAACCATCCACAACACCAGCGCTTCAGGAGTGAGAGTACCTGGTCCTAAGATAAGCCTTCAAACCAGTAAGACTGCTCAGCGCAGCAGGAGGCAGAAACGCTCTGACAGATGTTACACTCCAACTGTATTTGGTACAATATTTAGGCGAAGACAAAGGGAAAGAACCGTAATTATGCCTTTACAAAACAGCCCCTTGCAGAGAAAGTGGCACAGACTAATGGATGGGAGCCAGAAACCGTAGCTCACAAAAGCAAGGATTAAGAGAAACAGGCCACAGAGTGCTAACATAGATGGATGCAATTAGCATTTTGATAGTATAGCAGGAGACTCTACAGAAAAGTCCCAACACAGGAGAAGGGAAGAACAGACAAGGCACCATGCTGTTTTTCCACAGTATTCACAGGGCTGCCAAACAGTGCTGAAGTAAGATAAAAACAAAAAACCCACGCTGCTTTTTGGGAAAGACCGGAGAGGAGAACAAAAGACAAAGAAGAGACGGAAGGCATTTGCTGCAGATACAGAAATCCTCAGTTCAATACTGAGGATACTTCAAAGAGGCCCCTACACTTCCTTACTCCTGTTCAGAGCTAGGCCCAGGTGCATACAGGGGCATTTTCCTTACCTAAAGACGTGCATTAAGAGACAAAATAAGTAACTTTAATTTTGGTTGTTGCCCAAGGCTCCTGTATATTGCACAGGAAAGAAATTTCCTTCCAGTGCTTCTAAAATTTGTTGCCTTAAACTGAGCTCCTGAGCTCAAAGGATTGGTACCAGCAGTCACCAGCCCTTCACAAAAAGGAACAAGTGAACAGAATACCAAAACTGCAGTGACTCCAAATGCAGTTTTAAAAATCTCAGGCCCGATCACACTTGTATAGCGGGAATGATTTAAAAGCCGGTTGTAATAATAAGGGTTCAAATATTCACATGGGTGTCACCCAAGTGGTCCCGAAGGAAAGCAGAAAATCATCAGAGAATCTCCTCCTCCTATAAATTTCCTATTGCTTCAAAATAAATGCAGCTCCCCTTCCTCAGGGGACTTCAGCTCAACTGTATTATTGCTTTGGGAACTGGAAAAAAGGGGTGAAGCACTGTCAGCAAAAAGCAGAGAGTTAGGAAACTTGCTGGTGGGTAGCCCTGATTTTGTACAAATGCAGAGCAGACACGCAGTGCTGCAGACTTCCATAAATATATTTGGAATAATGCATACATTCTCCTCTTTAGAAATCTTCCATCTAGCAATATTCAGTTCCACAGATGCTGCATATCCATCACTATTAGTTTATTATGCATGCATGCCATATGCAGGGCACTTTTCAATATTCAGGAAAAACACAAAACCCGTTCCTTGTCTCTCACTTCAAGGGCAGAAAGCAAGCGGGCAAAGGGTGGGTGAGGAACTATTTCTGTGCAAGACAACTAGCGTAAGCGTAGGAAGAAAAGGCGTAGAGGGCATAGAGAAGAGAATAAATGGGGACAGGCAGGAGCCTCGGGGATGAAAAGATAAACATCTTCATAGTCACAAAAAGATTCCTTACAAAAACAAAACGATTCAGGGATGAAAACGTGGGAAATCATTTTTTCCAGCTGTCTGCTCAGACCACTCAACCATGCCTCATTAGTAAGGAAATAAATACCTCATTAAAAATAAAATACTGTGAACCCTGAAAGTGTATCTTTATTTTGAGGCATCAACAAGAATATTCAAAAGAGATTCAAAATCCACTGAAGGGATATTCTAGCAGCACTTACCTCCTGTCCTGTAGCTACATCCATTGCTGTGTAAACTGTACCTGAGGCTCTAAACAAGAGAGAGGAAAAAAAACTCACTTATTAGTGTCTCGTGGCAAGGCTGAGAGCTTAAAACACTCTCTTCCCCCTCCCGCTCGTTTCCATAAAGCTTTCTCATTCCCCTTCCTTTTCATGCAATAATTCCAGCAGTAAATATCATCTGAAATATTTCTGAGACAACTCTGCTGGTACAGAAGTGGCCAGAGAACCTATGCGGAATAACACTTCTGAGCCGGGACGCTCATCCAACCCTTTGTTGCTAAACCAGCAAGACAGCGCAGCCGTAGGACCATGAGTTGATCCCATCTCAACTGGCACGACTGCGCTGCCCTGGCTTGCAGGCTACCCAGCACGATTACAGAGCAGACGGGATCAGCTAAAGAAAACAAACGGGGCAGTTGAAATGAGGGAAACGGGACTTTGAGCCTCAGCACATGGAGCCGACAGCACATCTCCCACCCATCTGCGTGGTCGGCTATTTTAAATGGAGCCAGCTTAACTGTCTGTACCCTCTTCACCCGAAGGGCGCACACAAGTACAGAGTTTCCACAACAGCCGTCAAGTCAACTTCCAACAGGCAAAGAACCTAAATCATCTCACTGTGGCCTCTCTCCCTTTCCGCACACCCTAAGAGGGGCACAACACCAGCATCAAGGAGAGTTAATTCAGAAGGCAAATCTGCAATTTGAAGATTGTCTTGTATGCTGAAAATAAGCAGTTTCTTCCCTGCCTGCAGCTATATTTAGCAAACTGATCATCTAATGACATATTTTCTTGTATTAAAACACCATCACACAAAAACCCCAGTTGCCGTGACTCGACAGTTTGCCAAGAACAGGAGAAGAGTCTTAAAAAAAAAAAATGTAACACCATCAGTGTTCCCACAAACAAATTTAGCCTAGTTTTCTCTGTTTCCTTCTTAGTAAAAGGAAAGGTACAGGATGGAGAAGGAGCAGATACCAACCCTTGTCCAATCTTCTCAAAACGCGTGTACTTCTTTTTTGGATCACCCACACTCACGATACTCCCTGGAAAAAAAAACAAACAAACAGAAAACTCAAGATTGTAAAATTTTTTTTATACAACTACAAGAACCAATTCCTGGGCAGTCAGATGGCAAGAGCAGCCTCCTGGCCACAACGGGCTTTGCAGAGCCTCGTGAACCACTTGTTTGAAATCCAGAGCAGCACAAACACTAAGGCGGTCCTCAGTTATTTACACATATACTAGTTGTGGCATTCCTCTCTCACAGCCATTTCCTATCGGAAACGACAGAATACAAACATTACTCACATTTACAGGCAGTTATTGCACATTGCGAGGCACAGGATGTGGATACGTCGCCCTTGCCTGGGCAAATATAAGCGTTTGCTGGAAATCTGCAACTTTCAGTCACCTCCAACTTCAACAAATTGCATGATCCGAGACTCCCCTGCATTGCAACGTCCTCAGAGTTTGGATGCCAGGGCCTCACTCACCTTAGAGCTCATGGTCTGTGAGCCAAGACTTCCCTACGCCACGACAATCTGCGGCAGAACAAACATGTCTGCCATGTTTCTGTACCAGCACAAACAGCGCTGTTACTGACCCAGTGCCTAGGCTGCAAGACTCATGGGGAAATTTAGAAAGACCCTTCAGAGTAAAACTCCCCCACGTTGACCTGGGCAATGCTCAGCTGCTCCACTGGGAACCCAACGGTTAGGGAAGTGGTTCTGGTTTTAATAGCAGTTGCCAAGTGACTGCAGCACCCCTTGGGGGTTGCTTTCCCAGCTTTCGGGTTGTCCAAAGGGCTAAGCAGCGCCATTGTTGCAGCTGTGAAGAGCGCATCGTGGCAATCTCACCTCATTCCTCCTGACGTGGCTGATCAGCCGGAAGAAAGCATATTACTCTGCCCCTCAGAGGAAGGCACTTTGCTCTATGCTTTGCAAAGCTGGGTGGAGAGGGGCTGCTGAGGTTCAGGGCAGATTTGGCGTCGATGAGGAGTGCAGCCCAGTTAACTGTACAAGAGTAGGGAGCTCCCAGCATGATGGTAGGTGGCTGGCAGGCTGCACAGAGGCGCTGGAGCTCCTGCAGTTTGTCCAGCTGGTTGCCAAGGGGGTAGACAGCAGGAACTGATAAAAAGAGCATCGCTGAAACTCAAAGCTCCCTGAAAACAGTAACTGATCTTCATAACACCCTTACAGCAGGAGGGGAATTGAGCCCTTTCTAGGCTAGGGAAATCCGGGCCAACAATTTCCAGAGCTCAGTGAGAGGCAAGTCTCCCTGAGAATGACACTAAGGTGGCTAATAGGAACGAGGGATAGGGAGCTGCCTCTGGGCTTGCGTTTGCAAGTCGCTCAAGCAGCTAACATATGGCGCTGCTTTCACAGGGGGTTGGGACGAGCCTGAGCAGATGCAGATTGGCAAGGAAACTCTGCGCGCAGTCATTAGGCCGAAACATCCAGTGGCAAACAGGGTACGAGCAGGCTATTTTCAGATATCGCTGGAGAACAGCCAAACTCACAGGATTTGGGGCAGATAGAGGTAAGGGAGGGGAACATCGAGCGCCTTTGCGGAGAGGGAAGGAAAAATTTGACTATATAAATCCCATGTACAATCACTGAAGAAATGTCACCTTCCCTAAAGACGAGCATTTCTGGACAAACACTCGTAAATTCTTCTCCGGAGCCTAGCCCAGGCCGTGAGTTCAGACTGCAAGACGACAAATGTTTCCCCAATACAGTGACAGCACAAAGTGCTGCAAGGCAGCGATGAGATGCAGCTGTCAGTCTTGCCCTGTTTAACCCTCTCATATGTAAAACAGGGTAATGTTTTCCTGCCTCCCAAAGAGCCAGGCCAGGATTCATTAACTTTTGCATTAAGGCTGTGTTAATGCTAAGACGCGGGGATTTACCAGCTTCCTTTTAATATCCGCACATTTTCAGTATATGCATACATATATGTGCATACATATATTTATATATTGTAATAGTTTAATCATTCTTCTCGTGCCTGAAATAACATGAAAAGGTTGCATGTCTCTGTACAGCTCCGCTGCCATCAGTGGAACAGCAGCTGCCTACAACAGGGCTGGACTTCATGGCCTATTTCTGACTAGCCAGCACCAGGAAGCTGCTAACCAGCCACAGCCACTGAACCTCAAACCCTCAAAACGAAAGACTCAGCTCAGCCCTAAGCGCCGCTTGCTAGAGACAGCAAGGTGTCACAGCCCTAAGAGCTGCATTTGCATTTCTCTTGATTACGGAAGTGAGTGTATTCACACTAAAATAGCGGTCTTTTCCAACCAAACAGTCCCTGTTTGCGTTGCCTGTTCACAAAAGAGCTCACACCCTAAATGGTATACGGGTCCTGCTAATTCAGTAAATCAGTCAAGTAACTGTTTTGATATGATGGGCTTTAAACATATGTTTTTAGATAACATGCAGTTCCAATTTACATGGCACCAGTTCAATTTAGACTTCATTTCAGAGGAATGAAGCACCTAGATACCTTTTTATTTACTTTTTAAGTTACAGCTTCAAATTAAATTTCACTTCATCCAGCTATTAGTTTTCTTCGCATAAAATACTGACCTTTAGGGAGTAAGCCCTCAACAGACATGACTAGCATGGCCATAGGGGCGCTAACATAACTTACACCAACTGACAAGCAAAACCTGTATGTCATTAACGCAGGATTAGCGGTTAGAAAATCAGATATTCCGTACTCCAACGAAAGCCAGCCCAGCCTGAGGATAGCAATCAACTGCACAGATGAGCTAGTTCTGCTGTCAGATGCTGCCACAGCATATTCAAACGATGTCAGGCAGCACAGCAGCACTGTAAGTAAGACCCACGAACTGCAGGTAGGGACCGTTGAAGATAGTAGTAGGACACAACAGCGAGATATTGACCAGCCATGAATTTTTCTCAGAAACGACCACTAATTCAGGTTATCTACAGCACATCCACACAACAACAGGGCGCTTAAAAATAACCAAGTCGCTTAACATCGCAGTATCGTGGAAGGTGAATTGGGAGATGCATTAACCCTCCGTTTTAGCCAAGGTAGGAAGCTCTGCACACCTTAGGTCTAACATTTCAATATTGTCATCCACACTCTAGAGCTGTGGAATATCAAAACCTGGGACAATCTCAGGCTTCACGGTTAAATAGATGTTACATAACCAGGGCTTGTTTTGCGGACCCTGAGGATCTACAACTCCCATGGGACTTCAGTTGACAAAGTCTTCAACAACAGATCTCAATATGAGAATGGCAGAATATCTCAGCTTATTACTGTTTTAAGAAATCAACACAACAAGACCAGAACTTTAAAAGAATAAAGGAGGACATACTCAGTTTTTCCAAGATCTCTTCGTCTGACATTTTTGGTTTTTTCTTCTGTTTCTCTGTGTTTCTGACCAGCATGTCGGGGGGCGTTGTGCTGTTTTCGGTGGGAGAAGAAATAGGAGAGGTGGCCACATCTCTGGTAGGAGGAGGAAGGGGGTCTATCACGGAGCGGGTGTATATCTAGTTTGTTGAGTAAAAACATGCGTATCGATACAAGGCAGATTAACAGTTAAACACTTCTAGTCATCAACTGTTCTGTTGATTTTTTTTTGTTTTTTGTCAACGATGCATTTCTACAGCTACTGTGTTAACAGCTAAAAATATCGCTAAGCAAGAAATCTCTTGTCCTCTCAAGCTAGGCTTGTAACAACACTAAGGTGCTCTGTCAGAAAAGAACGGTATAACTGGCTCCCCATCTCCTCCCTCCTACCCCCAGGAGGGGCTCAGCCCCAGGCCTTGCATGGTGGACTAGCAGTCACAACTGAGACCAGACTGCAACTGCAGGGCGGCTGAAGGCAGCTATTACTGGCTTGCTCACAGATTTGGTATGTTCAGGTCGTGGAGCTATCACAGGGGGTGGAGCTGCATCATCTTCATCATCTTCATCTTCAGATACTGAGGGCACTGCGGGGGTCTCAGACACAGCCTTCACATTCTGCATGTGATTACACAAACAGCAAAAAGCCCCTTGTTATAAGCAAATCACAAAAGTTGGATTAAGCTTGCAATAGAGAACACACTGAAGCAAGCAGAAAAGAAAGAAAGAAAGAAAAAGACTATAAAGTTGTAACATCTGAAAAATCTAAACCCAGAAGACTGTCCTCCTGCATGGGTAGTATTTAGAGGAGCAGTCCACCTCAGCCTGAGGCAACTGTTCACATACAGTGGGTCATCCGTCTCATCGCAATACCAGACTCTTCCCTAGGACTCTGGATCCACCCGGACCCTCACACGATGGCTCAGATGTCCCATGAGAAGCAGGCATGCCTCATCAGTGACATGACTTGGCAACACTAGGCAGCACCATCCTTAAGACAGTAATCACCATCGCAAAACTAGGACTGCCTGACACTCGCACGGCAAACCTGACACCTCCGTCTAGGCTGCTGCGAAGATAACAGCTGGGTTTGGACATATCTGCCCTCTCGTTTACATTCCTTTTTTTTTTTGCTGCTTGTGCTGAACCCTAATCATGCAGACTGGAAATTTCAGTCTTCATACAATTTAATTTACATCAAAATCTAAACGCTTTCTTTACAAGTTGGGAGGTCAAGTTAACATCAGCTTTGGTACTGTGACTCAGACCCCAAGTAACTAGAGATTTTGGAAGCGCAATCTGGTAAAATCTTTCAAATCCTTATTAAAATTAAGGATTAATTAAAATTAATTAAATTTTCCGAAAGGAAAACCTTATGTAAAATAGGAACACCGCATTTTTTAAAAGCCACATAAGCGGTTAAAAAAAAAATTATCATCTGGAATTTTTGACCATCGTGTGGTTCAAAGTCAAAGCCATTTTTCACCTTTTAAATTTGAAACAGACTGGATTTGAACTTCACAGCATCCTTTACACTGTAAACATTTCAAAATAAACTTAGCAAGCCTCTCAGCCCACTGGACCGGTTATCCTTGTGCTCCTGCTTCCAGTTTGTTTTCCACCAGTTCCTTAGGAATGGCAGCGGAAAAAGGCTTTTTAAAGCATTAAACTAAAATTCTCGCTCAAAGAAGGGAGAAAACAACATTTCACTCAGCCTAAGGGTTTTGAAGTCACCAGCACCCTGACATATAATTGCTAAAATGCCATGACACAAGGCAAAAGCTTAATATGTTAAAAAAACAACAACAAAACACCTACAGACTGGGGATTTCCTGGTTCTCCCCAACATTAAAGGTTGGCCAGCGCCTTACAAAAATAATCAGGCACCTCAGCAGACTGGTAACTACTTCTTTCAGGATTTACTTTCAAATCCAACAGCCTCAGACGCTCTAAGCCCCCGAGGACTGGCACACAACGAGATGAAAAAATTACTACAGAAAAGGAAAAGTTTCCCTTTTCTTTTAGCAGAGAGTCCTCAGTGGCCAGCTAGGAAGGAATATGCTGGCTCCGGAAGGGAGCAGATCAAGCCAACTCTAGATAATGGCATAGCAGTGAGGAAACGAGAGATGAGGGAATTGTGGGCTTTTAATGAATCATCTTAAGTAGAAAGATATGTTTATTCCATCCCCCCCCGCCCCCCCCCCACACAAACAATACAGAGCTTTTCAGTTCTGCCTCCCAACACGGCAAACAGGAGTGGTGTCTGTCCTGCTAAGGACAGAGTAAAGGTCAAGCAGAGAGGAGGGGACCCTTTTATTTCCCTTTCTGCGGAGATTAGTTTGGTTAATCAACACTACTTCAATCAGACCTTACAGGTTAGTTATTAAACTCTGTTAGATCACAGATGTTTACAGAAACAAATAAAACCTAAAAACAGACAGGTTATCGTTTTCTGGATTAGCACGCCCCACCCAGAGGAAACAGATCCAGGAAGAGATTTCTATGAAGACAGCACTATTCCCTAATGAAAGCCCCTTGCGTCTAATTGATTCTCCCACTGCTGAAAGAAAAAGTGAGAGTAGCATGCCTTTTCAGGATAACTTGCCAAATATATACACGTATAGCTATTTATTATATGTTTATTATATGTTTATTTATTATAGCTATTTATTATATGCAAAATATGTAAGTGGGGAGAGGGAGAAGGAGGAGAGTTTGTATTTTAAGATGTGTTTAAAGACACTAAGCAGATACAATTAACACTGCTTGGCTACACTTTAGATAGCCCCAAGATGAAAGAGAAGGCTGATGAAACAAAGTTCCCGTGTAGCTCACTATTTCATATGCGTTTTTAAATTCCCAATCGTGAGAGAGAACGCGAGCATAAGCTTACCAATGTATTTGACGAAGTGTAATCCTCCGTTGACTTATCTGAAAGAGACAGATACTAACGAAGTTATAAATTATTTGCAGATGCAGCGGCACTGGGGAAAGGAGAGAGGAAAAAGATCCTTTCGGAAGGCATTACGTGGGGAGAACTGCTGCTCCCAGGTGCAGGCACTATCTTGCCTAATTTAAAACACTTTGGCAAAGGCAGCTGCCATGGACTGTCTCTACAGAGAGCAGAAAAAAATATATAGGGCATATTCCCCTTTGGGGGAGTGTGTCTCTGTGTGTCTCTCCATGACCTGTACGGGTACTAGATACAACTACATTCCTAACCCCAGTTAACTATGCCAGGTTTGGCAGGATGAATTTAACAAGCCAGCCTGACACTCAAACGGGGTGCAGACGATGCACAGGGGAAAGCAATTTCTCCTTTAGGCAGAAATCTGACCCTCTCTTTCCCAGCTAGAGCCTAAACTCCACGGCCAGAAGCTTTGATTAGTTCTTCAAATTTAAAACGCCTGGAGCATCTGAAGTCCTGCTTTTGCCCGGTGTTATGAAGACGCCAGCATCCAGCACACCAGCAATCCTTCTGCAGGATGCCCAAGCTGCCAGGTATTCTCAAATCATCCCAGGAAAAATCAGGCCTAAACCTAGGCACTGTTTTCTTTCAGAAGAACAGCTCAAAAGGCATAGCGACACCTTGCGCAAGCCGTTCCTTCAAAGGACGATGCTACAACGGCTGTATCCATACCATACGCAGGGTTTTCCTGCAAGGTTACAACAGCAGCGTAGAAAATTTGCGTGGAAGAGGCCAAAGAAAGAAGGGCCTGGCAGTGAGCTCTCCTGCCAGGGTCCATGCACTCTTATTAGAGGCTCTCCGATACCTCCTGCCTTCACAGCCTGCTTGAAAAAGGCTGCCGCACAGTCTCTCGCGACAGCCCTAGCCTTCATTCATTATCTCGGGACACAGCAACGTGAATCTCAGCATGCAGCGTCTCTCAGGAGCCCAGAAACAACATTAATCATTTCAAATCCAATTAAGCTTGGGGAACAGAAGGCTATTTTTAAAGGTTTTTGACTTTCTGGGGTTGTTCTCCTGGAGTGAGCTATAGGTTGGACCTCATTCAGAGTCCCTGCACCCCAGGGCACTTTTCTGGAGCAAATAAAGTACAAAAGAACTCCCCAGAGCAAGCTGACACCTGACACATAAGGGAGTAGAAAATTCTGCAGACAAATGCAGGGGCCCCAAGTCCCGGCTGCAGGAGAGTGGAATTTCCCAGAGCAACACCTGGGAGCGAATGCTGTCATCCTTCTGCATACAAAAAACCTTTTCAAGAGGCTTAGAAAAAGCTACCGCGCTAAATCACCAGCTAAGGCACTGCAGTTTGTCTGAGACCTGCACGACGTTCAGATTCGGTCACCAAAACTGCCTGGAATAGCAATCAAGGATCCCACTAGTCAACCAGTGGGCTTCTTGAACTATACTCAGGCAATATGGGGAGAATTTGCATTTTTATTCCTGCTTATAGACTTCCTGAGTAACGTCAGCTCTGGTGATACGCCTCTATCCCCTTAAAAAGAGTCAAAGCAGGGGAAAAGAGACTGAGAGAGGGAGAGAGTTAGATTTGACAGTGAAAAGGAGCAGTGACTGCAGGAATTCTCCAGTAGGCAGGTAATTCATACAGAGAAAGACGGCACGAAACCTCAGCAGCTTTGATTTATAGGGAAATCCAGCTGGCAGCTACCAACCTAGCAGCTGAGCAGTATTTCTCAATCACAGCCCATGGGGAGCAGAGAAACCTCTCCCCAAGCACACATGAAGCAACATCCACACCCAGCCTGGAACTGAAGCTGGTGTAAAATTTAGCTGCCTCTTTTCTCCAAGGATTTTCATCACTGGGAGCACAACACCAGGACTCTGGGATCTGCCTTCCAGGTATTGGCCATAAACTTCAAAAAAAAAACCCTGCGTTTTGGGATTGAGCCAGTTGACTGACCTCCTCCTTCACAGCTATGCTGGGCATCAGGATTAACAGAACAGCATCTTAAAGGAAGAGGGACGCTGAGCAGCCAAGGAATCTCATTCCCATTTTTTTGAACGATCTGCTTGTTGATTAAACAAAATATGCACATGACTACATGACTATGACATATGCAGTGACTCTAGTGAAAAGCTGGACAGAGCAGCTGCATGAGATGATCACCACATACCTGTGAAACTCATGTACTTCTGGCTGTTGGAGATCTTTTTGGAGTTGTAGAACTCCAACACATCCAGCACTGCCTGAGGGTTCTTCTTCTGCTCCGACTTGGTGATGTTGGAAGTCTGCAGTAAACGGGCCCATTGCTCCGGCATTCCCTGTTGAAGACGTACTGTGTTAGCCCACAGTCGGCCTAACGTGGTTCACGGGACACATACCTGCCACGTTAGTCCTGTCATACTGTTTCCAGGGTTACTTTAATTGCAGTGAAGAAAGCGGGGAGAAAAGAAAAGCAAAGAGGAAAAAAAAGCAGTGCGCTGATATCTTCTCAGCCTCCATCTCTGTTAGAAGTCACGCATATGCCATACGTGGATCCACAAATGCCACTCTGATCACAGGGCTCTGCGCAGGCCCCAGATCCGTCGAAGACCAAAACTAAAGACAGAAAGGAGCAGGTCTAATGCTTTGTGCACAAATACACACATATTTACACATACCCAAGAGTGACTACAGAAGTAACACATATTGCATAATATACAGTACAGTGGACGTACAATATTTATTTGGGCCTTCTGGTAGCACTAGAGTACTTTGGTAATAGTGGTTTGGGGCCTGTTGCAACCAGAGCTGGGACAGCAGAGATGTTAACCTCAAATATGGAGGTCAGAATTTCACTACAGGCACATCATTTCAGTCAAAATACACCTGGGGTACAATCTGACTCGAACTTTCTTCACAAGCAAGATCAACAGTTTGTGCAGATGAAGCAGCAGGTCACTGGGATCCTTTACTGACAGAGTTACCTTCCCTGTGCACAAGGGATGATGGATGCACCACTCGGAGGTAGCACCCAACTGGTACATCCAGGTTAATTTGGGCAAGTCTAGGGGCAAGACATGCAAAACATAACTGCACCCATGACTCAGGCTAGGAAAGTAACGTCCCTGAAAAAGAAGCATATTAAAGACAGCTATAAACGGCTTGCTCAGAAAAAACTTTTGCTGCTGTTAAACCCTATCTTACAAACAAACTAAGAAGAAAAACACAATGAAACGCAATGCTGTCTCCCTAATATTTTGCGTGTCAATTAAAAAAACACATAGAGGTACCTGCCGTTTAGCCTAAGGAGAGCACACGCACCTTCTGGCGTGAGCAGGTACACATAGCTGACTGCCTCCTAAAGGGGAGCTCTCAGGGCTCCATCGGCAGGACACAGAACGCTGTAGCCCTAATCCAGCTCTAGAAGGGGGATGGAAAGGAAGGGAAGGGAGGGGAGATATCCCATGTTTTTGTCCACAGCAGTCAAAAAACAGGAAAGGGAAAGTTTGCTGGCAGCCTGAGCTCCTGGGATGTGCCAAGTTCGACAAACAACTACAGATGTGTTTCAAAGGAGATCAACCTAGATGATGGTAAGAGCCTTTCCGGCACTACTATATGAAAGATTAATAAGCCCTGGCTCCTCCTAGCGACAAGCAAAACCACACAATTCTCTTTTCCTCCAAATCACTTACTGTGAATTCTCCTGTGACTGCATCAAACCCCACATGAATTGTGTGCTCAAAGTCTGAAGGGAGGGAGATCTCTGGCCGCTCTTTCTCTTTCTTTTTATTGGCTAGAAGAGAAAGTGAGAGAAAAAAAAAAAAAAGGAAAGTTCATCAACAATCTCCATGATAGCCTGCAATTTACCTACCCAACCAACACCCATTTTTGCCAGTCAGAGGATTTCAATCTGAGGCAGATGTACAGCATGTTAAAACCAATATTCACCTCATTTGAGAGCAGCTGCAGTTAGTGAACAACAAAAACCAGAGGCCTACAGCACAGGACAACCATAAGACAAGAAAACTGATATTTTTGGTAAGTTAAGTACCAACTGGCAGAACTAGACTCAATAGCACAAGCGCTATTCTCCTAAAATACCCGCTCAAACATATGTAGATGAGAGTCAAAAGCACTACGGTGGAAATAACTGGAGCCATGGAATTTTGGACATATGTTTCGTTCGTTTTTAAGCAACATATGAAAAGATCTTAAAAAAAAAAATACATGCTGTTAACATGCACTCACCTCTCATGTTAGAGAGGGACAAAATTAACTACAAATACCATTATAAATTAACTTCCTCCCTCCCATGACATCAAAATAGAGTTTCTAAAGAAAACCAAATATAACGTGTGCTTCTGCTATACAGCCTTATACAAGCAAGGGTTATAAGTGGGTTATATCCCATTTTTGCAATCTCCTGCTCAAGGAATGCACTAAATATGGTTTTAATAATGAGCTTTGAACACTCAGCAGACAGAGAACAGAATCTGGCAGGTGCGGAGCAGAAATTATGACAAAACAGGAAAGGAAATACATCAAAACAGATGCACCTTGCAAAATTTCAAGATCATCATTATGTCTTGCATTAAGTTTGTCTACATTCAGTATGCACTGAAGACTCCACCTTCCTTTTAATATGTACTATACTCAAGAAATTGAGATCATTTTAAGGAAGAACCACATTCTACTCATATTTGCTGCTGCTTGCAGTTATAAAATAAAACAGAGCCAGGAGAAGGTGGCTAAACCGCTCATGTTTCCCAGCTGCCATCTTTTGTATCTAAGTCCAAATAAAAGTTGTTTTGTAGTTGACATTTCCCAGTGCACTTTTGGCAATATGAACACCAAAAAAACAGGTATTTCAGAAACTTGCATGGCTGATGTTCAATACTGGAATTACTCAAGACACTTCTGCTGGTCGGATGTGTAAAGACTGCACGTTTTTTTTTTAAATCTATCCGACTGCCACACTCAGGGTTTTATAGCACCCAGCTGAATATGCCATCCTGTGAATCCACATGAAGCCACCATATGAATTCAAATGTATTCCTTCAGGATTCTCACAGGACAATGAACTTCAGAAGCTTTTGATCCAAAAATCTGACAGATCTAAAAGCCTGAACGTATTAAAACATTAATAATACAATTGCTTTTTGTAGTAGGCATTTATGTTACAGCAGGTGGAAAGAGCTACAAAAAAATTACAGAGAGACAGGCACTCCCAACCTTACTTAACACTTAATCCCCCCACTACAGTCGTATTAGCCTTGTAGTGAGTCAAAAAATCCTAAAGAATCTTAAATAAAAGATAAATAAACGCAAATCAAATACATGTTTAAGAAGGCCTACCTACCACCAAGTGCTTTATTCCCACAAATATCTTATCACCTTCTCATTCAAAAGGCTTGACGTACTGGTACAACAGCCTCTCATGAAGTTCCCTCATGATGCTCTGGCAACTTGAGCTGCAACTAGGAAGCACAATTTCCAACAGCAAAGTAAGCCAGTGAGCCCGTCCTGAAGCTTCCTGAGATGAGAAAGGTCTTTTCTGCCAGGAACGTTAGGCCAAGCGCTCCCCTGACTCAGAAGCAAGGCACCACATGCCCGCCGCAGCGTGATCACCACGCAGAGGGCTCCCTGACGCTACCGCCAGCGAACCTCGCGGGTAACATCCTGCCCCTGGGCCAAGCAGCAGCTGACCTCGGCCGAGCTCAGAGGAGCTAACTGGGGCACGCTTCAAGCTAAAGCCTGCTTCGTATCCCCAAAGATGACACCAATTCGGCCATAACCTCAAAAACGTGAGTGCTCGCAACTCGTTTGGAAAGCAACACATAGATGCAGAGCTCCCATGATTTGGATCGGACCCATCCAGTATTTAGCTGATATGCTTTTAAATATAAGAGTTTGGTTTTAGGCTGGGACAGATGAAACCAGAGTTTTGTAAATGGAGCAGGACAAAGCCTAGCAGGGGGACACATTAACAGAAGCGTGCGCATCCTGCATGTATGAGGGCCAGGGTTTAGACCCATGTGTACTTTGCACCACCACTCTGCTCATGCACAGCTGTAGCACAGTGCAAAAAACACGTCCCAAAGTACTGTCAGTTCGACCTACACCACAAACAGCTCCAGACTCAGCCACCAGTCCTTCCGTTTTCACGCATAAAATTCCTAAAATTCAAATTCAGATTCATAAATGCACCTCCCTTAGGCAGCTCGGCCCGCATCCGTGTCAAAGAAGCTGTTCTCAGAGCACTCCAGAAATCTCCTGGATCAACTGCACCCTGCTGCATTGCTCCCCAGCAGACATTTGAGTGCCCCGTGAGGATCAACACATGCGTTCAATGAGTCAAGAGATCACATTCTTGAGTTTCCCACTGAGAACCTCGTTTCATGATCCGTAGCAGACACCCCCAGCATGTCCTCCCTTGTTGGCCTCCCCTCCAATCTTGACCCTTGAGCTCCCAGCAGGTCTCTCATCTGCTTCATAGCAGAACTCCACATACATGAGCTGCTCCTTTGCATAAAGCGCAACGCTTTCATGATCTTCCCCACCTGTCCTTCGTAAAGAGCCTGTGCTCAGTTGTGCAAGCTATCCCACCACATCTCCGTGATCCCAGTAGGACTGCAGCTCACCAACTGCACATGGACTTCCAGCTCCTCCTCTTCATTTCCCACACCACATGCATTTGTGTGCACAGACTTCAGACGGGCATCCGGTCACTCAGCTCTCTTAGAGGCCAATGGCAGAGCCTTCTTTGCTGCACTGTCCCAGCCATGCTACTTCCCTATGTCCTGCTCTCCCACATACCTGCAGGCTTTAGTTTCTACCCTAGATGAACATAGCTTAAAGCCCTCCTCAGCAGGTTAGCAAGCCTGCTGGCAAAGATGGTCTTGCCCCACTCTGCTAGGTAGGTCCCATCACTCCTTAGGAGTTGACTGTCCTGTGGTAAGAGAAACCAAAGCCCTGCTGACAGCACCACTTCAATGCTTCTGTGGTCCTATGCAGAACTAAAAAACAACCGCCATCAAGTCTGAGCTCCAGCAATATTCCCTGCACAACTGCCCAGAGCAAAGAACTGCCGCTTCTCCAAAGGGACTGATAACATCGTTTCAGTAGCTATCAGGCTACAGTGTCAAAGCCCAAGTCCACATTCACTGGCCAAGTTAGCTCTTGAGCATTTTGGATTTTTGCAGCCTCTCTGCAAGCCCAGCACAAAGGTTAAGTGCCAAACACTGGCCTCTCTGACTCAGGGCAAGCATTTGCCAACAGATTGGCCAGCCTGGTAAGGAGGGCTTTAAACTAGGCAAGATGGGGGAAGGGAAGTGGTCTAGTGGCAGGGGAGTCAGTAAAACACCGCTCAAGTCAGGATGCCTCCAGCGGGTGCATACAGCCAGGGGAGACAGCATGCAACATGGCTATGGAGGATCCTCTTGCACCTCTCCTGGGAAGCCTGCGTGCTTGACTGGCTCTCTGAAATGCCTGTACACCAATGCACGCAGCATGGGGAATAAACAGGGAGAGTTAGAGATCTGTGGGCGGTCGCAGGGCCACGATCTCATTGCGGTTACAGAGACGTGGTGGGATAGTTCACATGACTGGGATGCTGTCATGGATGGCTATGTGCTTTTTAGGAAAGACAGGCCAGGCAGGCGAGGCGGTGGAGTTGCTCTTTATGTGAGGGAGCAGCTAGAATGTGTGGAGCTCTGCCTGGGGGTGGATGAAGAGCAAGTTGAGAGCCTATGGGTAAGGATTAAAGGGCAGGGTAACATGGGTGACACTGTTGTGGGGGTTTACTACAGGCCACCTGACCAGGAGGAAGTCATCGATGAGGCCTTCTACCGACAGCTGGAAGTAGCCTCACGATCACAGGCCCTGGTTCTCATGGGAGACTTCA